CTTCAGAGCCTGCGCTGGTACTGAAAGGGAAGGTAAAGGTTGATAAATGGAGCCCCTGAATTTATGAAACCCATAGTTCGTTAGGTGGATATGACACAAACACAACTACCTAGAGTACATGATATTTAACTTCAACAAAGCATCGAAGGACCTTCACAACATGGCCCCTCTTGACATCTCTGTTCTTCTCTTTCACGTGTCATCATCCCCAACCAGCCAAGTTTCTTAACTTTCTTTAGAATCTAACTTGTGGTTTTCAGCTACACTTGTACATTTCTCTCTTCACTAGGAGTCCCTTCTCTCTACTCTCTGCTTCATCCACTCCTACCTGTTCTATCCTGGTCTAAGTTTATGATTTGAGTTGAGAAGGGGACAACATTAGAAACTGGAGTGAGTATGGAATTTTAGCTGAACCCTTTGAAACACAGTGCCTGGGGACAAAGGTAGATAAGAGAAGCCTCAGCTTTGGCTCAGTCAGGTCCCCTAACATCCCCACCCCCTAAACCCTGCTTTTGACCACAGAAGTACCTTGCCAGCTTTGAAGACTCCAGAAGACGTTGGGCCTCAGTGTCCTAGTAACTGTCTTGCATAGCAGTGGCTCCATCTTCCCGTTGGTGTCCTAAACAGTATCTCTAAATCAGCTGGTAGCAGTGTCTGCACCACTGGGAGCCTAGGACAGACTGGATTCAAGTCTCTACAAAGAGTTCTACCACATCATGTCTAAGGTGAAAGATCTTCTTGAGCACCCCAGGAATGGAAAAGGATTTTCTTCTACTTGTTGTGTTCTATAAGTTTGAGCCTAGTGTGTATAGGGCCTTGTGTGTACCAAAGAGAACGTGTTATGGACTTGGAGGGATGTTTTATACCAACTGTTCCTATACTAGCTTAGCAAATATCCCTTTCTTAAACAAACACAAACATACGCACACAAGGCTAGCTAGCTAAATGATTCTCCACTGGCAGGGGATTAAAGCAATGGCTTTAGAGAATCATATCTGATCCCTAGAACTCTGAAGGGGAAATATAGCCAGCTTAGTTCTGGGAATCTGACTTATCAGTGGGAATGACATTATATCCTCAGAGCCTACATAGGCTTTACTGGTTCTGTTATTGACTAGCTGTGTGTCCCTTTCCCTCTCTAAGCATCAGTTTTCTTATTTATCACATAGGGATATTGTTTTTACTACCTACCTCAAAGTATAACAGTCGTCTAACCTTAAACACTAACAAGACAGACCAAGTTAAATCTTAGGGACAAGATGGACCAAACTGAATCCTGGAGATCTTTACCTAATAATAATCTTGATGGCTATCCCTGCAATCAGGGACTCCCCTGGCAACATAAGAACATAAGACACAAACTGTGTCTCTAAAAGGACCTTTAGCTCCCCTTCTAACATTAGACTAAAAAAGACCTTATCCCTATCACTTCCTGGATCAAACACAAAATTTTGTGTTCGCTGTTCAAAGACCCTCATAACCTAGTGCCACCCCTCACCCCTTTCCAGTCTTCATAACTACCATGGACCCTTTGATCCTGGTTTCCTTCAAGTCAGTTCCTGGCATACAGTAGGTGCTTAATAAATACTTATTGACTGATTTCCCAGACAAGATACTCCATCTCTTAGCATTAGGTATTTTCAATGGTTGTGCCCCCATGCTTGGAATGCTCTCCTTGTTCATCTCTGTCTCCTGCCTTTCCTGGTTTTCTTCAAGTCAGTTCCTGGCATACAGTAGGTGCTTAATAAATACTTATTGACTGATTAAGAACGTGTTGATTTAAGACTTCAAAGAACAGAGAAAAGACTCATATTTGAGCAAAAGGCAAAGCATTTAGGAAAATCTCTCTTTGAACAGTTTTCATCCCCAGTCTTTCAGCTCATAGTGCAAGCTAACTTGAAGCACCAATTAGTAAAGTCTTTTACTGTACTTGAGGCTGGTTGAAGCTTTGCCTTTTTTTTTTTTTTACAAGGCAGTTGGGGTTAAGTGACTTGCTTAGAGTCACACAGCTAGTAAGTATCAAGTGATCAAGTGTCTGAGGCCAAATTTGAACTCCAGTCTTCCTGACTCCAGAGCTGGTGCCCAATCCACTGCGCCACCTAGCTGCCCCTGGTTGAAGCATTCTTAACTAGTGTCTCTTCTCAGCCTTGGGTGCATTTGTGTAACTAGTGTTTAGCATCAGTTTCCCCACTGTGGTGTCTGAGCATAGCTGCAGAATTTAGGTACACCTTCTTTGTTCTATCCTGTTCTAGGTCTTAGTCTCACATTTCTTTGGTATAGCTCTGGGAATCTCTACCTACTCCACGTCTTTCTTTCATGTTGAGTGCTTAGCCTCTCATCTCTTTTCTGTACATGTTACATAATGTAGGATGTAGGTTGTGAGATGTAGGACTAGGGCTGTGGTTCATGGATGATCAGAATCCATGAGGCTGTGCACAGGTGAGGGACTCTAAGCCATTCCTATGCCTAGAAAAGTCAGAAGAATCACAGTTTAGAGTTAGAAGAAATCTTAGAGATCATCTAGTATATTAATTTCATAATAAAGTGAGGATGATCATTTGGGTTTTTTCCCCAATGTCACAGAACTAATAAGTAGCAATAGAGGCATAGTGTCCATGACAGGAGAGATATTAGTCCTGCTATCTTCTGCCCTAGCCAAACCACATCTGGCATTCAAATATGGCACTGGAAACTCAGTTCAAGTGACCTCTACATGAGGTCATTCCTGATCCTTCCAGCTTCTGTCTCCTACACCTTCTTTGACTTGCATGTTTCATATTTACTCATAAGCATACATGTTGTTTCCTTCCAGTGGAATATAAGCTCCTTGAGGGCAAAAACTCTTTATTTTGTATCCCTAGTACCTGAAGCATAGGAGGTGCTTAATATTTATTGATGAATTAATTAAGGGTATATGGGCTGTTCCTGTTCTGTGAGGTGAAGAAGGACAACCATGGTCTCCACCAAATTGCTGGTTGGGGCTCATCTAAGACAAGATCTTGAACTGGAATAGCTGTGACAAGTGACAAGTGCGTGCTAATTCTTTTTAAAATAAAAATTGATTTAAAAAATTCTTGTGGAGAATCCTGATGGGGGAGCATTTATTTACCCAAAGAAAGGGACCAACAGAATTGAACAAATAGTTGTCTCTGTCTGGACATCCCTACTGACCTCCCAGGGCTGGCTACTGCCCCTACCCCAACTCACACTATCAACTGGACATTTCTAATGTTGAGGAAATAAGATTAAATATGACAAATCTATATTAAGTACACGAGGCAGCATGGTATAGTAAACAGAAAGCTAGCCTCAGAGCCAAGAAAACCTAGGCTCAAGGCTGTGTAACCCTGAACAAGTAAATTATTTAACTTTTTATGGCTCTAGGCAATTTTCTATGACTACTGGTAAAGGGAATTTCCCCATGCAAGACTTCCTTACCCCAGCAGAATCACAGGTCTAGTCTCTATCCTCTCTGGCAAAGTTTAGTTAAGACTGTAATAATCCTTAACGGAGCACACAGTCTAGTGGGGTTGGGGTAGGTAATCAACATTACATTATGGGTAATGGTACATTATATGATAAATGTATACTAATGTAGTCCTTGAAACAGGCAAGCACTCTTGGTGATGCTTATTGATGCTGGTGGAGGTAATGATGGGGATGATATTGAAATGATGATTATAGCAATAGTGATTTTAGGGGGTGCTAGTGATGCTAGTGGCATTGATGGTGATGAAATTGATGCATTTGATGGGAGGCTGGGAATGATGGTGATTATGGTGGTGGTGGTAGTAGTCGTGATTGGGAAGATGATTATGAAATCGAGGATGGAGAGAATGGTTAGGCTACATGATCTAAATCTGTGATGGTGATGACCAAGAACTCAAAAGGCATTAAATTCTTATGTGTGATTTCTAGAACAAAAGTGCTATTTCACATATATGTAGAAACTTTCTTAGTTTCCATTCTCTAATGTTTTAAGGTTTGTAAAGTACTTTAAAACTAATATCTCCTTTTATCCTCACAATAGTTAGGTACGGTTATTTCCCATTTTATAGATGAGGAAACTGAGGTAGCCTGGGGTTAAATGACTTGCCTAGGGTCACACAACCAGTAAGTGTCCGAGATCGGGTTTGAAATCTGGTCTTCTCGGCCATGTACAACACTGTCCACTAAGCTATCCTTTCCTTTCAAAGACTGGGAGAGGTTGGATCCGCTATAAAGTTCTGTTCTGATCCTAGCCCTGGGCTTGTCTTACTCCAACCACCTTTCCCATCTCTCCTCCAAGACCCCTTCAACCCTACATAGTCTTCACCCAAGGCTCCAACAACCCACAGCCTGAAGATAGCTCAGGCTGGGCTGGGCTCGGCCTCAGCGCTGTGCAGCTAAAACAGATCCGAGCAACTCCTGGAACCTCTGCCATCTCATCCGAGCCTGCAGATAGGCTGTATCGCTTTGCAGCTCTTTAAAGGGAAGCCTGGAGCCCCCCAGCCCAGCCCCTAGCTCACTCCCGCCCGCCCGCCCACCTGCTGCCCAAGCTTGAGGCCCCACCCTCTCATGAATATGCAGGTATCAGGCCGCTGCGTGGAATGGGTGAGCGAGCTGTCAGTCTGGGCTCCCGAACTTGTAGGGTGTCAGTGAAGGGGGAGTAAGGGCGCACGGGGAGAGGCTGGAAGCTATCTGCTGCAGCTAAGCAGCCAGTGTGCACCGGGAGCTAGAGCCTGAGCAGGGAACCAGAACAGCGACGGCGGCTAATGCTCCCTGCTGCGCTCGGGGAGGCGTCGGGCAGCGACCCTCAGAGCGACCCGCAGAGACCAGCACAGCGGGTTAGAACGCCTAGAGCCCTGCCCACTGCCTGCTCGCTGCTGGGGAGCAGCAGCTGCAGTACAGAAGCAGAGGTTGCATGGCCCTGAGCTCCGCGCTTGCTCCCGACTGAAAGTGCGGCTCAGGTTCGGCGGGCGGCTCCTGTTCAGGCGGCAGCAGTGGCTGCGGCTGCAGTAACTGCAGCAATAGCAACAGCCACAGCCACAGCAACAGCAGAGAAGGCGGGCGCCCAGAGCGGCGGAGAAGGAGGCGGCTAAGGTGGCGGCTGCAATGCTGGAGCAAAGCCGGCGGATGGCGGCAACTCGCCTGGGGCTGCTTTTCCTCACCATTTGGGTTCAGGTGAGGGGCCCGGCGGACTTCTTGGGAGAAGGATCCCCGCAGCCCCCTGCATTGCAGTGCAGCGGGAGGGGAGGGGGCAGGGGCGACTGCCAACCCCAGGGAACTGAGGCGTCTTCTGTCCTGCAGCCTTAAGCGTTTCCTGGCCCTTTACAGGGAGGGGCCCGAGAAGGGGGGGGGGCACGAATGGGACGCGAAGTTAGGGGTCCCAGTGAAGGGGGCGCCTTTTGCACTTTACCTTTCTCCAGCCCCTGGGGAGGGGTGTGGGCGGTCAAGACTGGCCAGGCTTTTGCCTTGTTATTTTTCCCAGTGACTTTAAAAACAAAAAACAGAACCACCCTTGCTGCTTGTTTGCAAAGCCCTGGAGCGTGCGGGGAAGCCCGCCTGACGCCGCTTTGGGGCACCGGGGATGGCGGCCGCGGCTCCGCAGGGGCTTAGGGGCAGCCTCACAGTTCGGTATTGCGGACGTGAAGTCTGGGTTGCGTCCCTAGCTTGTTTGCCCCGGGGCTGGATACGCGCGCTTGTATCCTCCCCAAATCAGGGCGCTGGTTTGCAGACTCCGGGGGGGACTGAGCCCCGAACTGCGCGTTACCTCCTCCCACAGCGGTGGCCGTGGCTTCCTCGGGCGGCTGCAGTCCCTCTCTCGCCGCCAGCCTGCTCTCCCCACTCCCGGCTTCTTTCCCTACTGCCTCGCCCTAATGCCCCTCTCCTCGAAGGCCACCTGCAAAGGCCCCGCGCGGCGCAAGCTCCCCAGATGCCGCAAGGGCTGGGGCTGGGGCTGGGTGCTGCCCCTAGCGAACCTCGGACGCCCTCTGGCCCCAGCCCCCACCGTTTGGTCTCCCTTCTCCTCCCCTCTTTGTGTCTTATTTTTAGGCGTCGCAGCCCATGGGATATTTCGAGCTGCAGCTGAGCTCGGTGAAGAACGTGAACGGGGAGCTCCAGAACGGCGACTGCTGCGACAGCAACCGGACTGCACGGCCCACCGGGTCGGGCTGGAGCTGCGGCCGAGATGAGTGTGACACCTACGTTCGTGTCTGCCTCAAGGAATATCAGACCAAAGTAACCCCGACGGGGGCCTGCAGCTACGGCCAAGGAGCCACGCCCGTGCTCGGTGGGAATACTTTTTCCTTGGGCGGTGGTACCAACAGCGGCAGGAGCAGCCACCACGGCAGGGGCAGCAGAGACAAGGGCCGGGTGGTTATCCCCTTCCAGTATGCGTGGCCGGTAAGTGTTCTGTCGCCCTCGGCGGGAGAGAGGAGAGAGCTCAGGCAGTCTCCCTGCCCCCTGGGGCTGCAGCAGGGCCAGCACCTATGGGAGGGGAGAACACTTGCATCTGGGTGGGGACGCTGTGCTCTGCAGGAGGGAGGGCTCTGCCCGGGAAATAGCCGCTAAGGCAGCCCCTTCCCTCAGTTAGAGATGGAAGTGGCTTCTAGGTGGGGCCGCACTCAAGCGGGTGTGCTTGCCCGAAGTGGGGGGTGGGAGCGAGTGCTTGCATGTGTGTGCATGTTCGAGTGTGTATGTATGGGGAGGGAATGGGATGTAGGTATATCCCTGGCACCTGAGCTCCTTTAGAGGTGGTGTAGAGGGGTGGTGGTGATAAGTCAATCCCACTTGGCTCCCAGGGCTGACTTAGGAATCTATGCCAGGGCAGGAGGGCCAATTGCTTTATAATGGTTGATGTTGGTTTTATGGCATGGTGGTAGAAACTGCTTTCCAGGCCCTGGTTAGTGCACCGCATTCTTGGATGGTCTCTTACTTATAATCCTCAAAGCCAAGGCCTACCACCGAGTCCTACGTACAATAGGTGCTTAATAAATATTCAATAAAATTTACAACTTCTATGTTTAACAAAGTGGCTTCAGAAAGAATGGGGTGGTACATTTTGGGAAAACCTCAAGAGGGGAGCAGAGATTGTGATTCTGTTGTGTTTAGGCCCTGATAGGGAAGACACTAGAGACATTCTATGGTTTTAGTCCAGACTAGAAAAATTCTATTCTTACAGGCCTACCCTGGACTATTGTGTACCCAGATCAGGTTTAGTATTTTATTTATAGGAGAAGGATAAGTGAGCCCACCTGGTCTGAGAATGAAGGAGCTTTTAATTTCCCTAAAGCTTCTCTCTCCTTCCACTCCTAGTGCCTATGAGATCACAGTTAAGGCTAATTAGCTTCATCCTTGGCCTTCAGGGGCAGGAAGGCATGGGGGCTGTCCTCATCCCAAGAGGCATCTGCAGTGTAGTGGAAAGAACAGTAGATTTAGAGTCAAATGACCTGGCCACGTTCAAATCTAGGCTGTTTCCTTAAACCTATGTGACTTTGGGCACTAAGTTCATTTTACTCTTTGGACCCAATTTTCCTGTCTGTAAAATTAAGGGGATTGAACTAGATCTTTAAGATTCTCTTTCTCTAGGTCTGTGAAAGGAGTTTGCATGTGTCCTAGTGTAAGGAATGTATCCATAAGGGGGCAGAACTGTGTGTGATAGGAAATAATTTTCTGTTCCTGTGTGTATGTTCTGGGCTTTTAATCATTGGAAGTCTAGGGATGAGTTGTAGGTGCTCCAGTGACCAGCAGAGACTTGGATGGAGGGAATGGATGCTAACTGATGTAGGGAGAAAAACAGCACATCAAGATTTAAGTTGGATACCACGATACTTAATGGTAGTGGGACTTTTCAGAGGCCGGAACATGTTTTCAAGAGAAGCAGCTTAGATGTTTAAGATCAGGTAGACCCCTTTCCCTGCTGTGGATTAAGTATAGTTCTGCCTAAAGGCGGAGGGATCAATTAGATGACAGGCCTTATTAAATAAATCCAAGGCTATTTTTGTGAAATTCATTCAACATCTGAATGAGACATAACCCCTGCCTTTGAAGCGCCTAAGGATTTAGTTATGGAAGTTGGGATTTGCAGGACTGAAACAGAGAATAAATGACATGTCTCAAAGGCTATGGGTGTTCTAGAAAAATGCAGGAGCTGCTCAGAGAAGGGAGAAGTCATTGTAGGAAGGGGTGGGAAGGGAAATTTTCCTGGCAGGTAGTCCCTTCCTTAAACTGGACCTTGGAAAAAAATGGATAGGATTTGGGTACATAGTAAGAAAAAGAGTGAATAACATGGGGAAATATGTAGAGGATGGAATGAAGGACTCTTTATGGAGATAGCCAAGAGCATTGCCTGGCAGGAACAGAAATGGTACGTGTAGGCAAAGAAGCAGTTGGAGAGGTAGGTGGCAGCCCATCTGTGGAGAGCCTAGAATACCTGAGAAGTTTTTGGTCTTTAGCTTGGAGGCAATAAGAAGACATCACATTTCTGTGAAGGAAAATGATGGGGGATGTGTTAAGGAAATGACTGGCAGTTTCTGTAGGATAGTATGGGTTGGACTGGGTGATATCTGAGGTCTCTTATAAATTCTGTGATTTTTCTTTTTTTGATGAGGACCTTTGAGCCTAAATGCCAGTCATGAATCTGCTGTCTTAATATCTTGTTCCTTCCATAGAGGAAAGATGGTAGGCTAGAGTTTTGAAAGGTTCTGCCCTTCAGGAGTCCTGAAGAGATTGAGGAGTGTGTGTGGTGGAAGAAGAGACAGGGACTTGTTTTTCCTTTTATCCCTTATAAATTCTTAAGAGGCCACAGACTCTCTTGTTTGGCTCTAGACTCTCCCTAAGTTAAGTTTGACCTTCGGAGCCCAGAACATGTCCCCATAAAAAAAAGCCAGCTCTGATCTGCCTGCTTGTGACTTTTCCTCTGATGTCCTCTAATCTCATAGGTAGCATTTGATTGCCTTTCAGATACTTGAAGGCATTTTTCATGGAGAAGACTTATTCTGGTTTTGTCCCCAGATGGCAGAACCAGGAATAATGAAGGGAAATTCCAAAGAGGTAGATGTCAGCTCAGTGTTCTGAAGCTAAATGGGCTGCCTTGAGAAGTGATAATGAAAATCCTAATTTCCCATTCTTGTAGTGGTCTAAGTTTTATAAAGCATTTCCCCCACAACAACCCTGTGTTTAGTGCAAAGATGATCAGCTCCATTTTGCAGGTAAGGAAAATGAAGCTCTGAGATGTTAAATCACTTGCCCAGGGTCATGTGATGAGTAGACTATGGTTAGAACTTGGGTCTTCTGATGCCAATTTATTTTTGTGATACAGGATGGAATTGGAGGAGACCTCAAAGATGATATACAAAAACCCCTTATTGGACAAACAGGATGCCTAAGGTCCAGAAAACTGAAGTTACATGCTTAAGGACAAAGATTGTCAGGATTTGAACCTAGGTCTTCTGATTCAGTACTTGTTTCAGGGCCCTATGCTGTCTTCTGCTCCACCTTTTACCCCCACCAAAAGAGAGGGCAGGAGAGTCTCAGTGAATCAAAATTTTCTTCTGTGCCTGTTTTGATTCTGTTTTTCACTAGGATATTTCTCCTTTCCAGAACATTTGTTACCTAGTTGGAGTATATAATCTGAAAGAGAGAGAGAAAGAAAGAGAAGGAGTTAGTTTAGTTAAAGTTTAGCTCAGATCTCAGCCAAACCAGGTGCAAACAGCAACCCTTGTCCTCCCAGGTGTTCCTCAATCCCCAGTCCTCCTAGCACCTGCCTGCCTAGTTCAGGGACACAGATGGATTCTGTTCTACTTCGCAGCAGTGGGATGCCCTTTATTCAGAAATCCAGTGACTTGGGGCTGCAAAATAAAGGTTGCAATGGGAGCAGTTCTTGGCTCTCCACCTAAGGGATTCTTGAGGAACACTAGTTGTGGCTTGAGGAGAACTGTAAGTTCCCTCCTGTCATCAGGGATAGTCATGCCATGCTGCTCCCGAGTGAATGAGGAAGAAGGTGTAGATTCAGGGCAGAGCCTGCATAGTTTATGTTTGGATGGCGTGGGCAGGTTTGGGCACATGTCCCCACTTCAACAGGGTACCCCCTATGCTGTAAGAGCCAAAGTTCTCTGAGGGCTACTGATGATGGTGGCTCAGACTGGAGTCCAGGCCGCTCCAAAGATTTGTGATTTTTGTGAACCTCTACCATGAAGGAACGCATTCTGTCCCCATCTCTAATCCACATTCTAGAAAAATCATGAAGTCATGGTATCATAACATTTAGGGATGGAAGGAACTATGTGGCTGACCTAGTCCAATTCCCTTTGTAGATAAGGAACCTGAGCCTCAGAGAAGGGAAATGACTCGTCCACTGGCAGCTAGGGAACAACAGAGCCTGTATTTAGCCTTCAATCTCAAATCATGTAATTTCCATTTCACCAGGCTCCCTCAGGAGCTTGCCTATGGGTTAGGGACCTCCCCCTTCACTCCCCCTTAGGGAAAAGTAATGCCTTAGCAGTTGGGATGGGCTTTAGATGGATAACTTGAACTTTTCCCACTCTTTCCAAAGTAGAGTTTAGGGCAAAGCAGAATGCTGCCAAAGGGAGAATTGCATCCCAGGAACCGAAGGGCTTGAGAGCCACCTGTGAAATGAATGTTAGTAAGACAGGCACCTCCCCCACTTCAAAGATAGTTACCGTAAACAGGGCAGTTAAAAAAAAAAAAAACAACAACACAAAGTCCTTGCACTGAATATCCCAACAGGCCCGTTCAGACTTGCATTGTGAGCCTGTCATCTGTACTTGCATGATGCATTTGGGTTGAAGCCAAAAATGTTTTAAAATCACTACCTTAGGATGTGTTTTTTACCCACAGTTGGCAGAGGTGGAGGGAAGGGAGCAGCCAGAGGAATGTGGCTGGCGGACTTTTTTTTTTTTTCCTCTTCTGTTTCTCCCCACCCCCATGGACCTCACCTCATGGTTCTTCAGTGACCCCAAACCAGGGGATTTACCTGGCAAGGAGCTGGTATTTAAGTGGGAAGTTAATCAGGGTGTCTTGGCTCCACATGGCTTCTACCAGGTGAGATGGGCAGACAGTAGAGAGTTGGACTGGTCATGAAATGCTGGTGGATGGGGTCCCTAGAATCTTTGCATCATCTGAGAATTGAGTGAAGGGGCTGTATATTTGGAGGGGGATGTCGTAATTTTCAAAGCTGGTTAATATGACAGGAACATTTGTATAGAGGAAAGAAACAAGATTTGGGTTTAGAACATCTGGGTTGGATCCCATTTCTGATATTTGCTAGCTATGTAGCCTTGGTCAATCCCCTTCCTCTTTCTAGGCCTCAGTTTTCTCTTCTGTGAAATTAGGTGGTTGACTAGGCAAGTCTTCTCTATTTCCAAATTCTATGATCTTATAAA